GAATGTATTGGAAATGCTTGCTGCATTCAGTCATTCATCTCAAGGTTAAGCTTAAGCTTCATCCTTGTTCAGGACCTTACCTATACAAAGAACCCTTGAAGAACCCTTTTTCCAGGGGTTTACGTGACAGGACTCAAAATAAATATATGCAATACAATATTTTAATAGCCTAGATTGCATTCTTATGGATAACATATTTCTTGCTTCTTTTTCTGTTTTGCAGGATTGAATGAGCCAACGCCTTTCTTCAATCTCGTATAAGTCTGCTTTTCTAGAGCATCAGCAAGTGACTGTGACCAGCACTCGAGCTCTCCAAACAGACCTTCAGCATGAAGAGAACTGCCGTTTCCACTCCACTGCTCTCCATCTGCCTCGTTCTGATTGCATGTCGCTGTTCCCTGGCATCGTCATTCTGCCCAGCTCAGTGTGTTTGTGAAACACGGCCATGGTACACCCCTCAGTCTGTGTACCATCAGGCGAGGACTGTGGACTGTAACGAACTCCATCTAAGCATCATCCCACGAAACATATCTTCTGACACTCAGGTGCTGCTTCTCCAGAGCAACAACATCTCCGTGGTGACTTCAGAACTGCGGACTCTTGTTAACCTCACTGAGTTGGACCTCTCTCAAAACCACTTTACCCAAATCCAAGATGTTGGTCTGGGCAACTTAACCCAGCTGGTCACCCTTTACCTGGAGGAGAACCAAATTAAAGAACTACCTGATTTCTGCATGAAAGATTTAGTCAGCTTGGAGGAGCTTTATATAAACCACAACCAGATCTCCTCAATTGGCCCACATGCCTTTTCTGGTTTAGGAAACCTGCTTAGGCTCCATCTAAATTCAAACAAATTGGTGGCTATTGATAGTCAATGGTTTGAATTCCTCCCGAACCTGGAGATCCTCATGATAGGTGAGAACCCAATACTTGGATTGGAAGATATGAACTTTCGCCCTCTTTCAAAATTGCACAGTTTGGTACTAGCTGGCATGGGCCTCAGGGAAATACCTTCTGGAGCGTTTCAAGGACTGGAATACCTAGAGAGTCTCTCATTTTTTGATAATAAACTGACAGAAGTGCCCAGAGATGCACTGCGCGCTCTGCCAAACCTGAAGTTCTTGGACCTCAACAAGAATCCTATTGTGTATGTGCAGGCAGGTGATTTCCAGGACTTTGCCCACTTGGAGGAGCTCAGCATGAACAACATGGATGAGCTTGTGGCTGTGGAAAGAAATGCATTTTCCAACCTCCCACAGATGGCCAAGTTGGAGGTTTACAACAACCCTCGTCTGTCCTATATCGACCGCGAGGCTTTCCGTGGCATGTCTAGCTTGCGCACTTTGCTGTTCCACAACAATGACCTCACCCTCATTCCTCACGAGGTTTTAACTTCCTTCCCCAGCCTGGATGAAGTCAGCCTCCATAGTAACCCCCTCAGGTGTGATTGCCTCTTGATCTGGGGGCCAATCTTTGGTAACCAGTCAAGTCTCAAGCTTTTGGAATCCAAGATTACTATGTGTGCCTCTCCTCCAAACCTGGTAGGGCACTCTCTCCAGGAAGTGGTGTCAAATAACTGGGACATTTCCAGTAACACCTGCCTGCCAGTCATATCTCAGAATAGTTTCCCTCCCAAGCTCAACGTCACGGCTGGTAAGCCGCTGACGCTCAACTGCCGTGCTGTGGGTGACCCTGTCCCTCAGTTCTACTGGGTTACCCCCACAGGTGACAAAGTCACCTCAGAAGTTGTATCCCCAGCGCAGAATGAGGGCAGCAGTGGCATGAGGAAGCACAGATTGCAGGACCAAGGCGCTCTGGAGATCCTCCATGTTGAACCAGAGGACGGTGGTTTATATACATGTGTGGCGTGGAATACAGAAGGTGCAGACACCCGGAGTGTCTCTGTGTATGTAGACAAGAGTAATTGGCATGATGACCGCCAGAAAGCCAACCAGCAAGGGAGAAGGAACACCACTGGAGCCCTGGTTATCCTTGCAAAAGTCATCCATGCACAATCTGTAGTACTGGAATGGAAAGTTTACCCCACTACCCGTGTCTCCAACCATGAGATGCTACAACCCAAGTGGCTCAGTGCCACTATGAAAATCAACAACCCACACATTAGCTACACGGCAAAGGTCCCGGTGGACGTTCAAGAATACAACCTCACGCACCTGTTACCCTCAACAGAGTACCAAGTCTGCCTGACCATGGCGTCGACAGAGCAGCAAACTCAGCAGTCCTGCATCAATATCACCACCAAAGAAGCCACCTTTGCTGTAGAGATAGTCGCACAACCGAGCAACGTTGCCTTGGCAGCGGTGATGGGCTCGATGTTTGCCATCTGTATCATGGCGCTGCTGGTGTTTTACATGGGAAGACGTATAAAGCAGAAGTCCTGCCATCACTCGTTGAAGAAGTACATGCAACACGCCACCTCGATTCCCCTCAACGAGCTCTACCCACCTCTCATCAACCTGTGGGAGAACGAAACTGAGAAAGAGAAAGAAGGGCCCGTCGACCCTCAAAGCTCACAGATAGACACCTCAAAGACATACATGTGGTAGTTCGGTACAGGAATGCATAGACGGACACTTTAAACAAAGTATGTACGGTGCTGTACATAGACGATAATTGTAGTTACTTACTAATACTAAGATGTCATTGTGAAAGATGTATTTTTAGATATAACCCTCCATAGCTGGAACAACTCTCTACTTATTCGGGTACAGTTGTGAAGTGGTTATATACAGAGTAGATGAATTTTTAAAAAGTGCCCAGCCAAACACACCCTTGCAATAATCTCGCATCAAGTTTCTATGAACAGTTCAACATTACGCATGCAGATATATTAATTATTTGTCTAATTTACTGACCATAGAAACATTACCGTCACGAGTCTGAACCGAAGCCTTGTCGTCACTGCACGGGCTGTTGTCAGAGTCAAGGTTGCATATTTTTGGATTTCCTGCATGAGGTTCTTGCATGCTGTTTCAGTTAGTGCTTAGAAAGTACCTTCATTTTTCTCACGTCTTAAAATACAAAGATGTGAGAAGGTGGAACGCACCCACCTTCTGTATCCATTTCGATGTTTATCACCTGCACTGAATTCACAAATCTTATCCGCCAGCTGTTGTGAAAATCGCTGTTACCTGCAACTAATTAGCTGTCAAGCATAATTAATAATTGCTACAGCAACGACGCAGCTACGTGTATTCACTTTTTACTTTTGGAGCTCACTTTTGAACTGTGTATGTCTGAATGTAGATATTTTTACTATTACTGATACACCTTTTTTTTTCTTCTTTTTTTTTGGCACCTGGTACGAGTTGAGTTGAATGAGGTGTACAGGTCAATATAAAATATGTCACTTATTTTAGACACAAACTCACATAAAAAAAAGAAAGCACAGCAGCCCGAAACACATCACTTCCTGTTTCATGCTAAGATTAGCTATAAGCTAGCTAATCTTATTTATTTATTTCATTTAGTCATTTGCATTTTTGTATTCAAGTATTTTAGTTCATCCACGTGTTAGTGTTATATATATATATATATGTCTGTTTCTATTTTGTTTCTACGTCTATTTCTTATTATTGTATAGTTTTGCTAAAATGCTAACCGAGAAGGACGGATAGATCAAGGCACTCAATGAACTGGAATCGTTACAGGCTGAAATAAAGGCACTACATAAATGACAAAACTTTAACTGCTTTTCTAACCATATTTCACATGAAGAATTGTGCGCTTTCTCTCAAAACATGTTGTTAGCATGTTGTTGTTGTTTTACGCTAGTAATTTAACAGCTAAATACAAAGCAATTGGTCTTGCATATTGGATCATAGCGTACGTACATCGCGATGTGTGTGAAAACTACTGCATTTATACAGGAGAACTTTGTACAAGAATGACTTTAATGGCTAGGTAATGTAGTTCTTACTGCTAATGCTAGTTTATTTGGAAAATATACGCACTTAGTAATTCACAGTCGTTTAGTTTCAGGAGAAAGTTGAATAATTATATAATATTATAAGGATTATTACACATTTGTTACCTACATTAATCTACTTTTTTCGGTCAGACATGTACATGTTTTTAGTGATACATTTGGTACATAAGTGTATAGCTAAGCTACGCTATACGTATATAATTACTTATGTACTTATATGACGTATAGACCAAATATTACGTGTAGGTACTACATTATTAACTGTTAAATTCTGAATAATTATTATTTTTGACACTATGGCTGTGCAAAGCTGGTAGCCTTCACACAGAAGTTTCGAAAGTATTTATTTGTACCTATTCAGAGACAGACAAATCATATATTCGTTAGCTAGCCAGACACGTAAACGCTCCGTTCATTCATCTGCGCAGTTCCAAGTTTCCGGAAACTGACTAGGCTAAAAGTGAAAGCTAATGGAATATATTAAAGTATGGCAAGTTAGTTATGAATACAGGGAAAGGAAATGAATTTGCATTTCTATGAGTATCCAGCTTTATCCTAACAATTTGTAATGTAAAACATTGTGCTTGTGCTCTCGACAAAGAGTAAGCACCTAGACGAATCGTCTGGCTAGCTCGGTAGATCCATGGCTGGTGTGTGTAGTGCAGCAGGAAGTGGTGGGATTCGGAACACAGTTTTGATCACCAAGGTGTGTAGCGTCACCATGAACCCATTTAGTAGCTTTATACATAGCTGCATACCAAATTACTTTATTTTTTTGGGGCTAAAGTCGATAACAAGTATGTTTTTTTTCCTCCTGGTTGTTCGATCTACTTGTCCAGCAGGCTCATGAATAAAAACCTGATGACCTGAACATGAAATCTGCTTGTCCTAGGAGCCCAGGCTACTGATTTGTCCAATTTTGCTATTAAATAATAAGCACTTATCATACTATAAAATAAAAAATGCTAGAGAATTTCTATTCATGCTAGAGTTCAACTGCCAGAAGTTAACTTAGGAAGGACAACAGTACATTTACCTTTACATTTACCAGGGCAGTGGTAGTTCAGTGGCTAAAATATCGGGCTACTGATCAGAATGTGGTGAGTTCAAATCCCAAAAGTTGCCACTGTTGGGCCCTTGAGCAAGGCCCTTAATGCTCAGATGTATAGATGAGATAAATGTAAGTTGCTCTGGATAAGGGCGTCTACCAAATGCCATTAATGTACATTTTACACTTACATTTTATGGCATTTGGCAGACACCCTTATCCAGAGCGACTTACATTTATCTCATCTATACATCTGAGCAGTTGAGGGTTAAGGGCCTCGCTCAAGGGCCCAACAGTGGCGGGTTGGCAGTGCTGGGGCTTGAACTCACCAATTGGTAGTCCAATGCCTTAACCACTGAGCTACCACGGCTTCCTAAGCCAAGTAGCCTGACCTTTGACTTTTCACCTTGACCTTTGTCGAGGTCATGACACGTAACCTACGCCTACATCCGTGAATTGATTTCTTCAACAGTTCAATAGTTTATTTCATCCTCCTCGATTAAAAGCGTTGTCGATTCGACAATCTATTTTCACACGTGTAGTGACATCTAGTGGCTTTAGCTTAATGATTACCTCGATAGGAGGCTTTTGTTGTTGTTGATGTTGTTGTTGTTGTTGTTTATGGCGTCAGACAACCCGACACCAGAAGCGGATTCAAACGTCATATCTAGAATCGATTACCAATTTGTTATTATTCCTGTGCATGAATTGGTTTACTGACATATACACAGGTAAACAGGAGAGATAACCCCCCCCGTCCCCAAGTAATCTAAACCATTCTGGTTCCCAGACAATCCAGATAATTGCTTAAAACAATAAAAACAATTGCAATTTCCAAAGAAGTCTGTTCATCAGTGTTTCTAGTCGACTCCAGTTCATGTACAGAGACAAAACAGCACTATTAGAGCGCCGCAGTGTGCTTCGCACCTTATTATGTGGTTGGCATTTTCATTAATGACAGCCTGTGTAATTTCGCTGCTGATTATGTTGCCACATTCGATATTCTTTCCCTTTTAAAACGTGTGATAAGCCAGATAACAGGATCGTGTCGGTGTAGAAAGGAACGGAACGAGTGTTTACGTGTTTCATTTTCATTTTATCGCACAGCATAATTTGATTAGCCTCTGCAGCAATAAATAAATACTTCACACCACGAAGGAAAGTAAATATCGTGTATGAATAAAAATGAACTGTCTCCTTCACTCTCAGACCATGGGGTGTTTTTTAAGTGCTTGAAATGTCCCTTTTATGTCCTATACTCTCGATGTATCTACGTTTATTAAATCTATACATCATGTTTGTCGTGGTGTCACTTCAAAGAAAAATAGTCATGAGAACATTATGCCAAAATGAATCAGTCTGATTATGCAGGGATGTATACTTTCTGTGTTCATTTTTGAAATGATGATTATTATTATTATTATTATTATTATTATTATTATTATTATTATTATTATAAATTATTATTTGAACCAAAGCCGAGACGTCGTCAGATAAACCCAAAAGACAATTTTGAAATATCTCATTTGATTTCTGTACCTAATATAAAAATCTTTGATCGCTTGTTTTTACTCTGAATGTTATTGATAACGTGTGCATTATGAACAGGATTCACTTTGTTTATTTGAATAAATGATCTCAAATCAGACATTTGAAAGAGTGTGTTCTGGCGACAAGATGTTTTATGTTTTGTTTTATTGTTCGTCCTGTGGTCCCAGCTGACTTTGTCCTCTTCGATCATTCCTAATGACGGCTGATGTTTATTGCTCTCCCCACGTGCCCTCTGGTGGTGGGAGAACCTGTTGAGATGCTAGAATATTTGCTTTCTATCAGTAAATAGCAGGGTATTTTGTAATAGACCGAGACTATTGTTATATTTCAAGTTAGGTCGGAATTAATTTGACACTGTTACAGCGTATTGGTCTGTGCTCAGTAGGAGAACAATGAGTGTAAGCAGAAACACTGGAAAGAAATAAACACCAATATCACAGAATTCCTGTTGTGTCGTTCTTGTCGGAGTGTTTCCTTTTGACACGACGCAAGGGTCCTGGATTTAGAAAACGAGTGTAGAAGTGTTCGCAGAAATATTTGTTAAAAATAAATATTACACATTTACATTTCCCACCCAAGAATCTGAAGAAATGACCTTCCTCATATACAACATTCATGCCCATGAGAATGTTTTAAATCATAAGGTTGTTTTTTTTTTAGTTCAAAAATATTTGCTTAAAACGTTATCCTTAAAAAACAAACCGATTTATTCTATTCTAATCTAAAAAATCCAGGGAGCAAGCTCAGTGTACTTGTGACTATTATAATTATTGTACGTCTAGTCAAGGTTTTTAAAGAAATAGCACCAATTATAGTAGAAGAAAAAGGGGAAGGATCAGATAAAGGGGAAAAAAAAGAAGAATGTGAGGGGGGAAAATACAAAAGTGAAAAATGATGGGTAAGGATGTATCAGTTGAAGAAGAAATTTAAGAAGATAAATGAATGTATTACTATCAATAATAATAATAAGAAGAATAGAAACTGTGTAGAAACAACAATAATAATATTAATAAATCATCTTAGTATAATATCAATAATAATAATAATAATAATAATAATAATAATAATAATAATAATAAGTATGAGGAATAACTATCTTATAATAAAATGGTTACGTCCAAAATCTATACTATCTAGTGTGTTAGTATGAGAATAAGAACATAGAAATAATTTAAGAATAATAATCTTAATAATTTAAGAATAAGAATACTTAGTGCGGTAGTATGTGATTAAGGACGCAGCCGAGTTCTGCACTTGCATACTACTTAGTGCGGTAGTATGTGATTAAGGACGCAGCCGAGTTCTGCACTTGCATACTACTTAGTGCGGTAGTATGTGATTAAGGACGCAGCCGAGTTCTGCACTTGCATACTACTTAGTGCGGTAGTATGTGATTAAGGACGCAGCCGAGTTCTGCACTTGCATACTACTTAGTGCGGTAGTATACGCTTTTGAATGAAGACGAAGGCAACCGTGACCGGTGGCAGTGTTCTAATTTGACAGCGCATACTATTTAGTACGCAAGTATTAAAAATTGTGGACGTTACCTTGGACACCAAGGAATAGAAAAAAAAGAACGGTTGCAGAAAGGAAGTGACGTGTGCGTGCCGTCACCCGTGTGTTGATGTTTTGTGGAAAGTGGAGAGCGGACGGGAAGCAGTGGCTTTGTTTTTGTTTCCAACAGCGGCGCCTTTTAACGTTTAAAAAGGCCCACTCGACGTCTCATTGAAACGTCCACGGACGCGCTCGCGGACAAAGAAGACGCCCGCGTTGACTTTCGATCGAACGCAAAACGTTTAAACGGAGGACTCGTCCCCCTCCTCCTCCTCCTCCCCTTCCCTCCGACCCCAATCTGCTTTAAATAGACAGCTAGCTAGCCAACATGACGATTCTGCCCAAGAAGAAGCCGAGCTCGTCCGTTGGTGTTTCCGATCACACCGACGATGCGGACCGACGGAGCGGATCCGATCCGCACCCGCACCCGCATTCCCACGCCGTGCGGACGGGCGCCAGGCCCAGAGCTTCTCCGCCGCCGTGGTCGTATCAGACCGCTCCGCCTTCGTCCAGGGAGGACAGGCGGAACGAGTCGAGCTCCCGGCCGCAGCAGGCCTCGCCTCCTCCGGTAGGCTCGGGTTCCCCGGCCGGGCCGGGAGACGGAAGTGGGATCTCCGGGGTTCGCGGAGAGCTCACGGGCGGTGTAGGATGCGGCGGTGCTGGAGGAATAGGAATTGGGAGTTGTTGCTCTGGTCCGGGACTCAGCAAGAGGCGGCGTCAGGCGACTTGCACCGGCGGAGTGACGGGCGGAGGAACCGGTCCCGGGGCGTCTGGAGGCGGTGGGGTCGGTCCGAGCTCGGATCCCGAAGAAGGCGCCGGTTATAACAGCGAGGACGAGTACGAGAATGCTTCCAGACTGCAGTCGGAGGATCCGGCGACCGTTGAACAGGTATACACATGTAGCTAACGAGCTAGCTAGCTAGCTAAGGAAATGGCTAGCGAACGTCAACAACCGCTTAACTACAGCTGGGGACATTTAACCGCATTGTTTCGATACACTTCAACAAGGTGTTAAGCGTTTGATGTCGACGTTTCGTTTAAAATGTGGCAATTTATTCATTTATATAATTAACCAATCAGCTAGCGTTGTGTTTATCGCTCTGACAGCACACGTTATTTCTACATAAGAGTTGCTTTAAGGTTCAGCAAAGCTTATAATAATGTTTATTTGATATATATATATATAAGTTTTCAAGCTACACTTTCGAGCTACTGTCAATAACCCCAGTTTAACTGTCAAATAAATTGCACACACAGGTCAGATGTACTTGATTAAAGTCATCCATAATCACTATTCAGAGAGCACTTGAATCATTTAAACGTGTCCTATATAACTCTTGTTATTTATAAGAGTCTCGTCTTTTTAAGGTTTCTGTTAAAACCCATTCAGCGCTTCAAGCTCGATAATAAATATCGCTTTCGTTAGTAGTGGGATGTGGTTTTCCACCACTGTAACTAAATAACAAGAAAAAAAAAAAAAAAACCACGACCACAGATAAATAAATAAAACCAAAAATGCCTCTGCTTTGTAGACAGTTACTCATTAGCTGCATTTACGTTGACAGCGATAATCCACTCTTAATCCGATTAAGACCATACTCTAAATAAGAAACTACCATGTAAACAGCCATTTTTACTTCCCTTAATCTGATTAAGGTCATTCTCGAATTAAGCTCTAATCGGATTAAGACAGGTGGAGTACTCCTGTTTTAGTCGCATTATCGACGTGTATTACCGACTTGTAAGCACATTATGAACGTCGTGTGGGGGTTTTCGCCGCGTTTTGCGACAGGACTCGATCACACACGGTGGTTTTACGGTGAAGAAGAGAGATCGGCCGCGTCCCAAACTGCATACTTAGCTACTATAGGCCTGTGGTGGGGAAAAATACATGTATCTCGTCTACTACATAGACGGTAAGTATGTGATTTGGGACGCAGCACACGGCTTCAAGCAGTCATCTATTAGTACGT